CGCAAAAAGGATGGGTCTATCCGATTCTGTGTCGACTACCGCCGGCTCAATAAGATAACTCGGAAGGATGTGTTACCCGTTGCCACGCATCGACGACGCTCTCGATTGCTTGCAAGGGGCAGAATATTTCTCCTCCTTAGATTTACGCTCAGGATATTGGCAAGTTCCAATGGCTGATCCTGACCGATCGAAGACTGCATTTGTAACACCTGATGGGCTGTATGAGTTTAACGTCATGCCGTTTGGACTCTGCAACGCCCCAGCTACCTTCGAACGGATGATGGACACCATCCTTCGCGGCTACAAGTGGAACACGTGCCTTTGCTACCTAGACGATATCGTCGTTTTTTCTCGCGACTTTTCCACTCACCTTGTTCGTCTTCGTGCTATTCTCACGTGTCTCACCTCTGCTGGCCTTCAACTTAACATCAAGAAGTGCCATTTTGCCGCACGTCAGCTCACCATACTGGGTCACGTCGTCTGCAAAGAGGGTGTTCTCCCGGATCCGGCGAAACTCCGCGCCGTGGCCGACTATCCGAAGCCCAATTCCATCAAGACGCTTCGAAGTTTTATCGGCCTGTGCTCATACTTTCGTCGATTTGTGCGCAACTTCTCTTCCATCATCGCGCCTCTTACCAACCTGTTGACAACTTCCAAAGGCATTTCTGCTTGGTGAAAAGAGTGCGACGAATCATTCACCGCACTTCGGCGGTTATTATTATCACCTCCAATTCTACGACATTTTGACCCTGATGCGCCTACGGAGGTCCACACTGACGCCAGTGGTGTCGGTCTTGGTGCTGTATTGGCTCAACGAAAACCAGGGCACCAAGAATACGTGGTCGCTTACGCGAGTCGAACCCTCAAGAAAGCCGAGTGTAATTATTCCGTCACGGAGAAAGAGTGCCTCGCAATTGTCTGGGCTTTGACGAAGTTCCGCCCATACCTTTATGGCCGCCCTTTCGAAGTCGTTACGGACCACCACGCTCTATGCTGGCTATCATCGCTCAAAGACCCGTCGGGGCGCCTTGGTCGTTGGGCGCTTCGCCTACAGGAATACGACATTCGTGTTGTATACCGATCCGGCCGCAAGCACTCCGACGCTGATGCGCTATCCCGCTCGCCGCTACCGGCTGACCCAGCCTCCTCGTCACCTTCTTCAGCTGTCATAACACCAATCGACTTCACAGACATGGCATCGGAACAACGCAAAGATGTGTGGATTTCCCAACTCCTCGCCTTTTTGACTGATCCGTTAGCTAATTTAGTGTCAAGAACTATCCGCCGTCAAGCCACACATTTCGCTATTCGAGACGACCTACTCTATCGGCGGAATTACACGTCTGAAGGTAGGAAGTGGCTGTTAGTGATACCCAACCACATGCGCTCGGAAATCTGTACTGCTTTCCACAACGACCCGCAAAGCGCTCACGCTGGCGCTCTCAAAACGTACAACCGTCTACGTCAGCGGTACTACTGGCGCGGCATGTACACATTTGTCCGCAAGTACGTACGTGCTTGTACTGCATGCCAGCGACGTAAAGTCCCACCTCAACGCCCTGCCGGTACACTTCAGCCTCTGCCTTGTCCAGCGCGTCCGTTTGACCGCGTTGGTATCGACCTATATGGACCACTTCCCACGTCGTCTTCTGGAAATAGGTGGATAATTGTCGGCGTGGACCACCTCACGCGTTACGCGGAGACAGCAGCACTACCCGCAGCAACCGCGAGGGAAGTTGCGTTTTTCATCTTGCGCAACTTTGTTCTTCGCCATGGTGCTCCCCGCGAACTTTTGAGTGACCGGGGGCGTGTTTTCTTGTCTGACGCCATTCAAGCGTTGCTTGCTCAGTGCAACATGGTTCATCGCCTGACGACAGCATATCACCCGCAGACGAATGGCCTCACAGAACGATTTAATCGCACTCTCGGTGATATGTTGACGATGTACACAGCTTCAGACCAGACTAATTGGGACACTGTCCTTCCATTCGTCACGTATGCGTATAACACCGCTACGCACGCGACAACGGGATTCTCCCCTTTCTTTCTGTTGTACGGACGCGAACCATCGTGCACGCTAGACACTATCCTCCCATACACGCCCGACTCCTCTGAGTACACTGCAATTTCTGATGTTGCCAGGTACGCAGAAGATTGCAGACGATTGGCCCGTTCTCTGACAACCGAGGACCAAGGCCACCAGAAGCTACGGCTTGACACCGGCCGACATCTCTCTACTTTCACGACTGGTGCTCTCGTTTGGCTCTGGGTTCCACCGAGCACTCCTGGCCTTTCGTCGAAATTACTGGCACGATACCACGGGCCCTACCGCATTCTCGCCCGTACGTCACCCGTCAATTATGAGATTGAGCCATTGACACAGTCTCATGACTTACGCCGTCGTGGCCGAGAAATTGTGCATGTGAGTCGCCTGAAGCCGTATTACGACCCCGCTATAGTGACTACGCCTTAAGTCGCCAGGTTGGCTACGCTATTCACCGGGGGCCAATGTAGGGAACTATGCGAACGACGAAGAAGCAGCATGAAACGGCAAGCCACAGCGTTGGTGCACGCGTGACCCGAGCTTGCGTTTGTTTTGTATTTTCGGCCTGTTGGCGTTCCTCGCTCTTCTGGCGTTCCTCGGCCTTCCAGTAGGTCTGTACGTGAATAAACTGCGTGACAGTCTGGATAACGCATCGGCGCGAAATCCTGCATGTTGCATTTCGCGCCGGTTGCCATCGGGTCGCGCCGACGTCTGACGGACGCTGGTCGCGCCTGGCGTCAGACTGTAGATAACTCGCGGTTTGCTATCGGAACGTCGCTGTGCCCAGCGAGCGCGCGTCAACGCTACATCGGAGTATATTGGGCCCTTCATGATGCGCTCGCCGCCGTTTCGCTAGCTCCACATATACCAAATTTAGTGTTACGTGACGTTAAAGGGCCACTCACCAGGTTTGACAATTTCGAGCTGACAAGCGCAATGCGTAGACGAGGCCTTCATGATCACGTCTGCCAAAATTTGCAACGCTACACACCGCCGAAATGGGTCAAATTTCAAGATTAACGCTGCTTCCCTTCCCCTCTGCCGGCGCACGCCTAGAGTATGAGGGCATGACGTGGGCGTATGAATGGCCCTACGTACACAACAATGCAATGACGTTGGTCCTCTACGTAGACGAATCTGCTCTGACGTTGGCAACATTATACCACGTGACACGGCAAAAATTATTTAACACAACATGCGTAGTTTATATGTTTGTTGTTTTAAGATATTATAAAACTTGAAATAAATATTGAGACGCAATAAAAAATTGTGCGCGTTTTCTTTCATTTTTTCCTGTGAAATGCTACGAGAAGAGGGGCTAATGTGGCAGTGTTTCACGTGTGTTCGTGTCCCCGTGGTCAGCGCATTGAGCCGACGACCGCCGTGGAACGCTCGTACGCGTTCGCGCACTCATTGTGCTCATCTATTCTACCGCGTCTAAGCCAGCGTTTCCAAACGATCCCGCAGAAACAGGCTGAAGATCACAAAATAACGCTGGTCAACAAAGCAACGCTGCTTGCGTGCTCGGGGGTTGGACTTGTTTGGAACGTCATGCGCACGTCACCTCGTGGTCGGATGCTGGAGAGGGTGGGATAGAAATTTGGCTTGCGAAGGCTACGCCGAGGAGTGGCAACCCTTGTTTCGCGCCGCTTCAAAAGCCTGTTTTCTCCGCTCGTGATGAACCGATTTGAAATTTTTTGTGGCAAAATATTCCTCACCAGACATCCAACAACTTCACTGTCTAACTAAAATTTGATATGGGGCCTGATGAGGGGCCCTTTAATGGACGACAAAATACATGACTGGTGCAAACATGATAATCCTGACACGTGTGTTCTCTATAAACCTGACAACATATCACGGTCACAGCGTGCTCGCAGTCGTTTCGCTTGCTTCCCATACACTAAATTTGATATCACATGACGTGAATAGATGACGAAGGTAAACAGCACATCCAAACATGATAATCATGACACGGAAGTCATGTACGGCATCATTTACCTCTCCCTCGTAACGTTGTGCCGATTTCATAATGAGATATCAACCTTTTTTGTTCCTGCTTCGCATGTCAGTGATTCGCACTGTACGTGGGATCTGGCAATTTTTTTTAGGTTAAGGAAAGTCTTTTTCTAGCATTTCAGATGAACGTGTGCAATGTACTAGGAAAATTTATATAGTATTTATGTAGCTCAAAGGAACATCTATTTTATAATTTGCCATACAAGGGAAGAAAAGCGTAGAAATTGAGCAGGTTATTTTCGGACGCTCTTCTTGCTAACACGTGCTATTAGGGCACATCGGTGGATAAAACCGGGTGTCATCAAGGGCCCGTGTTTGTAATCGGTGGAAACTGGGGAAAGTACAGTGCCTAGAATACATTTTAGTGAAAGGTTTTATGCTCGGCGACCACGTTTCTTGGCACTGAAGGGAAAGATACGGGGGCGAAGTTTCTGCTTATGTAGCACTATGCGAAGTAGTCAGTTTTGACGCGCTTCGCCTAACGCTATGGAAAGTGATTAGGGCGCATCATCAGCGTTTCATGTAGACGCAGACACCGCTTAGCGTTTGAGTTGCACGTAGAAAGGGGTGACTATCTCGCACGTTTAAAAACGCGAAGTCACAACGAATAAGTTTAAGTAAATACGACTATCTTAGTGGTGGTAGCTGGGTCCTTTCTCAACTAGTTCCCCGTAGTATATAAAGAAGGCACTTCTACATCTCACGGTGAAAATGTGGGTGCTGTTGTAAAACTACATTCATGCGAGCGATTTGGCTCTGTAGCCTTTACTCCAATGCCAAGAAAAGTTGTCGTCGAGTATAAAGTGTGAACGACTACAGAGAGTTCTCTGTGCTAGGTCAGCTGCGAAGGTACTGCACTGATAAGCTCCGAGACACGGGCTCAATTAAAAGTCACGGTGGCCAGATATTCAAGATGCGAATTCTGTTTCTTTTGCAGCTGATCCTCGTGGCCGCTTTCTTGCTGCTGCAAAGCGGTCTGGAGCCGGCGACAGCATTGAACAACCATGAAAGCACGGTGAGTGCACTGCTACTTCGACTCACTCTTCCCATGGCACTTCCTGCACGCCCTGCTGACAACCCTTCAGGCACCAGCTTCTGACGGTCAATTGCTTTAACGTACACTACACTTCCGTTGAGAGATTAGCAGGGTGTAAACAAGCCATTTTTGCCATACTAAAGAGCAACGCTGCCAAACAGAAGCAGAAAAATAGACGAAACCAAACTGATGAAAGCGCATCCATCAAACTACCGCGATTAGTCGAGTCGAATCTAGGAAACTTTATCGCAGGGTAACTTGAGACCTCCCTGGCCCTATTGTTCAATGCGCAACCCCACTGTGTCCAAACGTTCATGTCCAATAAGTTCATAACGTTGGTACCCTGACTGGCAGCAATCTTCTTGCTTACCTGGTCTGAGGAGCGTAGTGAGGTTTCCCAGTCATCCTAGGTTTTGAGTGACACCGGTCCCCCGGGAGGAGATGGCCAGGAGAATGTAGGTTAGGCTTGTCCTCTGTGCACTGCACAGACGGCGTGAAGGCAGCGTGGGTCGGTAGTGCAAGAAGAGGGAAGTGGCAGATATGGTTTCTGTTGCAGACGACGCACTGTTCTTTTGTTGTAAGGAAAGAGGGGGGAGTAGCCACGCAAGGAATGGCCGCCAGGTAATAAGATACTAAAATGTAGATGGACGCGCTTCTTCTGTTCCCTTTCGTGCTGGTGTGTTTCTACTTTGCAGCCCTCTTCTTTAAGTAGAATTGTGTGTTATCAGAGCTATCCGCAGTGCAACCATGCTGACGATGCTTACTATCGCAGCTCTCTTCAAAATCAAAGAAAAAAAAACAAAGTGCACGAGGAAAAGTGTGCCCTAAGTGAGCTAGTCATGCATACCGTGAAGGTGTGCACAGCACAACTGCGGACAAAGGGTTGGAAATAAACTTGACGCAAAAGTGTCGACTGCCGACTGAACTTTAATGCGGGCACACACAATTGCTACCAGGACTATCCTATGCTTGCAGTAAAGAAAGGGGAAAAGAAATATTCTGGCATCCTTTAGAAACAAAATTGCTAATCGAAAGTGGTGCACCAGGAAACAAGAATTCTATAAAATAATCCATAAATAAGTATGCTGGTGGTCGTGGACTATAGATCACTCCCACACCTTGTATTGTATACCTTTCATATTATTGTGGGAAATATGTCGCTGCAGTTCATCGATTAGCTTAATCAGTGATTAGGCGCAGCTTCCATGTGCCTAATTAGTGATTAGGCACATGATTCCTTTATTACGAGACCTCTCTTACACGGCGTTATATACTTTCACTTAGGCCATATCATGCTTACATATAAATATTCCAAGCAAAACGTGTCTTCACAGCTTTCAGCAGGCCAGCACGCTGCCACAGCTTAAAAATTGTGAACCTGCAGGTGCATCAAATTCTAGGAGAAATAAATGAAAACTCAAGTTCTGCATCTGTAGTTCAAGTAGGCAGTAAAAGCCTGTGCAACGTGTTTGTGATTAGAAAACTCGGCGTGATGTGGCACTGAAGGGAGAGAGAGAGGGAGAGACGGATGGCATTACGCTACGCAGTTCATACATTCCTGTTTTCATAGCTATGGAGGATAACAGCGGCTATCTGTATGCGGAAAGTGAATACGAAAGTTGCTACATCAATGAAAACAGTAGGAACAAACAAACAAACAAACAATAAATCAAAAATTGATTTAAAGGCTACATGACCTGGTTTACAATAAACAACAGACACTCCTCGATATTGTTACCACAAAATGTAGATTCAAGACAGAATATCATGCAAGGCAGCTTCACCGTGAGGCAGTTGCGTTCAGCATGAGTGTTCCCTGATGTGCCTAAACGCGTGCGTCTGAGCAAAGCAAGCATAGAGACAACTTGTGTCATGGCAGAAAACGTGGCACTCATGTCTTCATTGCAGCGTAGTGATGTTTGCCTTGATACACAGATGTGCCAAACTGAATATGCCCTTATTACTGAAACTGTATAAACTCTTTGTTCTCTGTACATAGTGTAAATAAACTTTTTTCTAAGCAGAAAACTTGCGAGGAATATGGTCCAAAGAAGGGGCATATACACAGCTTCGCTGGGAAAATAGGGAAAATGGTGCAATTTTGTCAACACGGCCTCATCAAGTGCGACGTCTAAGGGATGGCTTTATGCTCTTTCATAGTCAAGTACCAAATACTCCAAATTATTAACCACTTTCCTTAAACACACATAATAAGTGGTTCCGTCAATCCCACCTTCAAGCTCAGCCAAGGTCTTGAGCGACTGTGAGCTGCGTCTGTGCCACAGAATTGTTCACGCATTGCTCGTGTGGTGACGCGAAATTCTCACCGATGATGGGATCCCTCGATGCGCGCTCTTCTCCTATGATTTCGGGCTGACGTGTCTCCGGCGTATCGGCGCATTCATCACGCGATTACGTCTACACACCTCGCATGTCGTCACAACGTCGGCCAAAAGGCTAAAGCGAAACGACATGGTCGCGGCGAAGAAAAAGCACGCTAGCACGCATGTCGGCAAGTAGGAACAACGGGCAGCTGCGCGTGCTACGTGATGCAGCCCCACGCTGGAGGCCTGTCGACAGGATACCGCAGTTCAGCACGACAAAACGAATGCACACCTCCCCAAGAGCTACTCCTCTTAAACTCGATCCAGGGTGCCGCTGTCGCAATAACTGCTTCGCAATTCCGGAAAACTGCGGATTTTCATTCTAAAGGCGCAGATGTTGATGTTGCCACATGCATCTACAAATACCACAATCTTCCTTGAATGTTACAGTCGGCACGCTGAATACGGGGAAGTGGCACTCAGTGTGGTCACCGCAGAAAAATGTCGACACAAGAGGCCGTTGGCCGAAAGGTCGCTTATGCTTTTTTTTTCTTTTTTGTGCGTGAGTATAGATTTACAAATATTCACCACCCGCACATATAACGACGTTACCACGTTTGTCCACGGCGAGGCATCCTTGCATCAATCTTTCAGAGTGTGTAACACATCGCGGGAGTTACTTCCATTCCCTCCTCTCTCCCGCTTAATTTGTCACTCCCGCACTTCAGAAAGGGGAGATCTGTTTCCACACGGCACATTTAACGGCCGTCTTGCACTCATCACGTCCAAACGAGTCATTGTCGAAGCCTTCATATATAAATTCCGGACTAAAGCTCTTCCCCATTTTCAGTCTCCTGCAACTAAACAGCCGTCATACTATAACTACTACTGCCCTGCGACAACCTACCTGTAACAAGCCCACAAACCTTCCCACTACAGTTCCTAACCATCCACTACCCTCAAATTATCATAGCAATGCAAATCAAAAGAGCATACGACACCAGGCGCGTGGTCTTTTCCCTCTCTCTCTCTCTCTCTTGTCCCTGCGTCATGCGTGCGCCGCATCAGCCCGGGCAGTTCCTGACCGAGGAGGCGTCCATGCCCTACCAGTTCTCGTACTTCGCCGGCGGGCACGACGGCAGCCACTCGCGCCACGAGACACGAGACGCCAACGGCCGTGTCTCGGGTCACTACACGCTGACCACGGATGAAGGGTCCCAGCGGGTCGTCTGCTACGTGGCCGACGAGCACGGGTTCCGGGCATGGGTCGACACCAACGAGCAGGGCACCGACAACCAGGACCCCGCCGACGTCAGCGTCCGCTCCACGGCACCCGGCACGGCGGGAGTACCTCGCGGACCGATCAAGGGTGTCTGCGGCAGCCCACCGCCACCGGCGGGTCCTCCGGCCCAGGCCCAGATCGTGGTGACGTCGCCGCCCGTCGTCATACCACCACCAGTGCGCAAACCGGCTTACGTGCCACCCCCGGCCGTGCATCACGAGGAGGTCATCGTGCCACCTCCATCTGTAAAGGTGAGCGATAGAACATGCCTTTTACTCATTAGCATTATTGCGGATTTCATTTAAATCAAAATCTTCCTTTTTTACAGCATTACAGAGAAAAGGCGGTATTCTGCTCACATGATGCATATGATTTCTTGATATGCATAAATCACGTAATTGAGAAGGGGAGACGATTTATTTTTAGAAGAAGCTTTCGAAAGAGGTGCGGGCGGATGTGTGAGATGGTGTTGTAGCTCGTATTGAATATGCAGGTACGGTGTTTATGATGACCACTGCTAGATTGAGAGACATATTCGAACGCCCTCTTTATCTAGTATTGGTCCTCGAAAACCCCTTGTTGAAATGGCCTCTTTTTATATCCATGTATTTTAATCCCTTATTTTCTTTCCCTCAGCGTAGCATAGCAAACCGGACCCGCGTCTGGTTGACTTTCGTTTTTGCCTTTCTTTTTCTTTTACTCCCTTTCCTTCGATCACCCTGCAAGAGCAGTGAAAATGCAGGGACGAGTAGAAGCCGCTTTGTTCCTGCTAGAAGCTCCTGGAAACGCTGTGGCCACCAGGCTTGCTGTGTGTGTATGTGAAGTGCATGACAACGACCTGTTCGGAGTCGGCATACGCGTTGCGTCGTCCTTGCTGCACTTAATGTCTCTTTCGCCTGAGCCTGCGGTACGGATATGTAGCATTATAGAGGCTTTGAGCAGCTTTTATCAAACGAAAGTGTCATACCACCTGGTTGTCTTTCGCCTACTTGTGTGGCCATCCAGCAAGAATGTACACCTTAACGTAACCCACCGTCCTGCTCTCCGTCCACTACTGTCGCAGGTGTATCCTCCTCCTGTGCAGCAGGTCGTGGTGACGCCCCCAACGTACGTGCAACAACCACCCGCGCGAACCTACGTACGCAAGGTTGTCGTCAAGAAGCCCATCCACAATTATGAACCTCCGGCCGAACCAGCAAAGACCTATTATGTTCCTCCCCCACAGCCAGCCAAGACCTACTACGTCCCCCCACCACAGCCGGCCAAGACGCACTACGTTCCACCTCCATCCCCACCAAAAACCTACTACGTTCCATCCGAGGTATGTAGTTTCAGTATTACAGTATGTCACATCGAGAGCAGTTCAGTTGAGTGAAGAACAACTGGCCGTACTGCCTACCAAGCAACATTGTATGCCGCACGTAGATGTGCACATATATTATGCCCTCCAGTGCAGTCAGAGTAGGTTCATCGAACGAATGTTCGTTGCAGGGTAATCATTACAAGGTAATGAATCCTGCATAATGCAGGCTCAGTATGCACCTCACTCAATGTGTGCGCGCTAACTATACGGATGGTGAAACAATCGCCACTTCTGGTGGCCTCTGTACCACGGAGTCCCTGCATGAACAATATAGTTGAACTCTCGATCCACTATGCCCACAGCGTATAGACGAACTAGCGGGACATCTGCACCACGGAGTCCCTGCATGAACAATACAGTTGAACTCTCGAGCCACTATGCCCGCAGCGTATAGACGAACTAGCAGGACGTAAAAACGTATTTCGCTGGTCACTTTGTCTTCCCCTGTGTTCGTCCCATTCGGGCGTCCTTGTAATTTCAGGGGAGATTGGCTCAACAGAGCCATGACGACGCCCAGTTCGCGACAACATTGGTCAGTGTGCGATATCAAGACGGCCTTTTTACCCTCACTGCTACGCCTTATACGTTTCTGCCTTGTCTTAACCTAACATCTATGCACACGCAGCCCGTAGTTGTGGAGCCTCCCCGTCGTCGTCCCCCGCCGACCCGACGCCTGTCGTACCAGCCGGCTCGGGAAGAAGTGCTGCCCCCGGCACGGCCAACCTACTACGACACTCCGCCGACGCCACCCCGACAGGTGCAGGAGGTGTACGTGCCATCGAAACCCGCGTACCGCGGCTCTTCGTGCCCGGGATACTGCGGACCGAAGGTGACAGCACGCGTCGTGTCGCGGCCGGAGCCTCCATCCTACGTCAACACTCGCCAGGACGTCAGCTACTCGGTCAGGAGGGGACCCTACGTTGCGCCAAGGTACTCGTCTAATCATTCGTAGCGCAAGGCACGCATTGTTGTTTTTTAAAAGACACTAAAGATGATTTTGCTAGAATTAGTAAGTTATTCCCTAAAACCAACAAATTCCACTCCGGCCATAAGGGGACGCTTCATAAGCCAGACGATACGCAGAAAGAAAAAGGTGGTGGTGACGATGCCTCAATCGTTCCCGCGTAGCTTGCCTTGACATCATAAATTCTGATGGCCTCTGCTGGATTGTGCGTAATTGTTGATTTGTAAAAATGAACCACTCTGCCTTCTTAGGGAGCAAGAGACTTAACATACATACATGCAAAACATAAAATATTTGCGGAGTGGGTTGAGCCCCCACACGCTTCTGACTTCACCGGCTTTGCCAATGTCGCTTATTATTAGTCGCGCCTTAAGTTCCTTTTGATGGTAAGCTATAGTTCGTGTTTGCTTTGTGAGTACACGTTTCGGTTTACGAAGTTATAAATACACGCACGTGCCAAAGAATGCAGCTGGTCTTGAATAATACATGCTACCTTTTCGAAATGTCTGTTTTAGCGTCACCCTGTGTTCACGAACTTTCATCGCATTACAACAATGCTTGTTATGATTTTAGTATCCTGCAAATGTGTTAATTAATAACAGTCCCCAACACTTATTTGAAGCTGGTCACGATTATAGTTGGCTATGTCGGTATAGCTTGGCTGTGACTCCTCAGCAGCAGTTGCTGCGGCACATGAGCAGCTTGGCGTGACATCACATTAGCTGGCTTGATAGCAAGGCGAGGTCAGGGAAAGGAGCTCAGTTTTAAAAAAAATTCTGAAGTAGTAGAATTCAAAAGGGCTTAGCCGCAGAGGTGAAGGCAACATTTACGTGGAGTTTACCTCAAGATATAGGCCTTCTCGCGTGGTAACCAATCAGAGATAAATTGCTCTCTTTTGCAAGCGTGAATGATGGCCTGATACTGAGTAAAGGCACATTCAAACTTGAGAAGTGAAGCGAAAACGAAAATGCCAGAGCAGCCAGAAAATCACGTCCACGCGCTTCGAAAATGTTCACATTCGTTCTGCTATGCTACCACCACCGCCGCCGTCGCTACCTTGAGAATCAATTTGATTTTGCCTGCTTTCTGAGCAATGAATTTCGTACCGAATTCTAGTTATTCACGCAAACTACTGAAAAGAAATAGCTAGCACCTTTTCAGACATTGCTTCGGGAGAGAAACGACACGCGCGAGCGCACTGGCAGTGGCGGCGGATTCAGCTGCGTGAGTACACAAAAGCGAGAAACGTTTATGTATGCCGACTCGGTGTGGCTGCTGCACCATCTACTTCCAGTGTTCTCGGCGATCGTAATCCAAGCAAGGCTGTTGATGAACGCGTCCTCTTTGAGGCCGTCAAGCTTCGTCGTGCTCCACGGGTAGCTCGCGATTTGAGCCGATGCGTGCCATCGCTGACGCCTTTGCAGATGCTGAATCCGCGGCCGGCTGTTTAAATCACGTAGTTTGAGCTAGAACATCCAAACCCGTGCAGCGGGAAGCGGATCCGCTTTCGCGTGGCGGGAAAATTGGTTTTTAAAAGAGTTTTTGTTTCGTTCCCGCGGCGTGGTTTTCCAGCCGCTCGGGCGGCGAAGCGAGTGAATTTCGGTAAGTTCCGTCGCTTTCGGTCCCTTCGATGGCAAGTGTGAACGCGGCATAAGACACCGCTGTTCCAGACAGCGGTATAAAATTAACACTGGCCGCTTGATGCCTAATGGCTAGGCTTTCATGCTTTTTTTTCTTCAGAAACCAGTGACATTATATAGGACACCCGCTGAGCAGTACCTAGAGATATACTAGCAAATTGCCACGATTAAACATGTACAGTGTTAGAAGTAAACGCTATTGTACCTTCACTGTGCGCCGATTGTTTACCGCGCGTGCAGTAAGATGGAGACTGCCTGGTTTTACCTTCTAAACATAAGTTCCACTCAAACATTTGTTTTTTTAGATCTTCTTGGGCCAGGTGGTGTGCAGCTGTGGCGTCATTGATTGCTCGACAACAGCGCGGCGATGTTTTTTTTTTTTTTTTAGGGAAACAGCCATTTTTCTGATGTGCTAAAGGACTTACATGTTAGGAGGCTGAAATATATCTCTTATGTCACTGCTTACCGACGTATGTGGCTTCTCATCGTAATCCTGGCAAAAATATATCACTAAACGTGTTTTCTTACTCGCAGGTACGAACCATGGACCCAGCCATCGTACAAGACGTACCGTGCTTACAACGAGCCGTCCGAGCCGTGGCGTCCCAAGGGTGACATCCCCATCGGCGTCTCGTACAAGATGAGCATTTCCCGCGGTCCCGGAGGCCCCTACCCGTGGCAGGACGAAGTGGTCAGCCGGCCCGGATCCTACTACCGGCATGCGCGGCCGTCGACACCAACCTCGGGATCGCACTATTACAGGTTCGGCCAAGACCAACACTTAGCACTAATGAGCATTGCGCAGCACAAAAGAAAATGCAGCACACAAGAAAGACACACAAGGGACTAGCACTACTTGGAACTGTTTATCGCAAAACGTCATAATGAAACATTATGTATACATGCGGTGCATGCGCAGATGCGTTCAATGAAACCTACGACAGATGAAAACGATAGCAGATTTTCTATCTTATGTACCCGTTAAGAAATCTAAATTCATCCATGTGCAGAATGACAGAAGGCTCGCTAACGCACCCCCCTTCCTTTATTTCTTAGTTTAGCAAAAACCATTAATTTTGATCAAGTGACGTTGAACGATTGTGTGACACTGAACTTCTTCAGCATCACTCACTCTTGGTCCTCACGAATTGGGGCGAAAAGGAGAGGAAGGAGGAAGGACCGAGCAAAGCGAAAAGCCAGGGGTATGTTAAACCTAAAGGGCTCTGGTTGGCTATTCATGCGCTGGGGCCTTAACAACATGAAGGCACAAATATGAAAGAGGAGGTCGCAAATGTGTCCCCATGTGTATGAAGGATAAAACCAATTAGCCAAACGCACTCGCACAAGCCTGATATTTTCATAACACGTGCACAAAAGTGTCTTAGCTGCATTCTGAGCCAATGACGGAGGGAAACAGTGTGTAAGTATACAACCCTATATAGACATATCAGCATGGACCATTGTGTAGTCGCCGCAGTCTCTCTGTTTTCTAGTTGCATTCGTCTCATCTGAAATTTGGTGGCATGCTACCAAGTGTATGCATTTCTGTCTCGACCGACAGAATTCTCATGCAGCGCCGACAGACGCTTGTAGTAGTGCTGAATGAGCTGCCGTGAAGGCAAAATTACAGGTAGTTCAATTGAATCAGTCACATCAGTAAGATGAGCAGAAATTGTCCATTCTTTGTCTGCTACGAAGAAAGTCCCATCTGCAGCCCGAAACACTTTGAAAGCTATACAGAAACAATAGGCGCATAAAACCGATAATTGTGAGGCATGTGGTGAACCCATCCGCAGCTGTAATACCATGAATCTACTCAGCAAACCACCAGGTTAACGATTACATCACTTTAGTAACGTGATACAGTGTCAACTGTAATTGAGCTCTGATCTGACATTATAGGATACATTGGTTTAGGTGGAAGAGAGCTTTGACGCTCTAAGCCCTCGATCGGTTAAAACCGCTCAAATTTTGCACATACAAAAGCTGTTCTAGCATGCTGCCTAACATAACTGAACGCGCCTTCTTCGTGCTACGTTAATGCTACCATTAAGTATACTGTAAACCACAATCACATGACATGCGCAGGCCCGCTGAATCTGCGCCCGAGCCGGCCTACCCATCCCGGTCCCAGGGAGGATACGCCAAAAATGACCTGCAAGACGACGACGACGACACCTACGACTTCAAGAGGCCCAGCTACGGCTAAGCGTTCCTAGGACACCCGGTGGCCCCGACTGAAGACTCGGCAATGACAGGATTTCTCGCGAACCAGGCAGCTATACACCTACATCGCTCGTCTTATCTATCTCAAACGTTTTGTGAATAAAAGAAAACAATGCTTCTATGGTACTGGACCACCATCTAGTGTATACACATGAAACGCTAAACGATCGAGCGATAGCCAAGGGTTTGGCAAAGTATCATTTAGCGAGGGACGAACACCGTGGCAAAACCGTTCACTAAAGGTATGCTAGACAAAAGAAAATTTTAGGGAAATGTTTTTAAGTAAATGTTTCTGAAACCATCTGTGACTTTTTTTTTATCAGAAGCACTCTCTACCCTCCGTCCAACACATTTGGCGAGTGTGTTGTTTTCCCACAACCTAGAGCACGGGCACTTTTGTACACAGTTGGACATATCCTCATCAAGTCTGGAGGTCCCTGCTTTATGTTCAAAGCACAATGTCCAGCAGGGCATTCTCTGTCAAGCCCTCATTGCTGCCGCACCTCCAGAATTTTCGGCTGACATCCACGTGCGACATAAAAAGTAGACTTTTTCTGACATGCAATGACTGATGTTCTAATAAAGTTTTTTCTGTAAATTTTCTCCTAAAACCTACCATGAAGATGTACTACTGCTAAACCCCCCGCCCGTCGCAAGTGCATAGCGTCCACGTGCGTGCCATGTGTTGAACTTATTACAATCTGCCTCGACGACCGAGCTGGACGATGACCTTTGATACTATTACTATCATGATGTGACAATGCAGGGATGCAGTATGCGTGCAGCCCCTGCGTATGGCACGTGACCGACTTATGAAATTCTTCCTGCTCTAGGATACTTTAGGGGACGCGATTATAGTCAATAAGATCATTACTCGTATCCTTGACCATATGCATCTATGCAATCGTCGTCATTTACCCTTTATCATCATTAGTCAACATTTAATGATACTCCGGCATTGCAGAGCCTATAAATTTCTACAAAATGGAGAGCCTTGGCTGTGTCCAAGTCCTCACCTGCAGTCACCATTGCGCGTGCTTTAGGGCCGACACCCACTCGTCAGATCTATAACGCAATCGTAGTTCGCACACCAAGACCAGACGGTGGCTAAACGGGCAGCGCTTCTGCTCACATTCATCGTAATTTTGGCTAGTGCGTGCTTTGCTGCAAAGATCCCATACTCTGCAAAGCCTTCGCATATAAAAATTCACACGCATGGGATATAAGAAAGACAGGAAAAAGTACAATCGACCAAATGCTCCATCAAGCAGAAACAATCCCTAACTTATAAGTAGGCAGGTTCAGCAACAATTGGACGATATGATGATCACCATAAAGTTCGTACAAAGCAACGCATATATAGAGCATGAATGTGGGCAAAACCCTGAAGTGTGGGTGTACCCTAACTAAGGTGTGGGCTTTGTAATACACTGCATGTGAAGCTCCACGCCAGACTAATCTAGTAATCAGATCGAGTAGCTGGAATTGAATTTGGCTAACTATATCTAGATGCCTATTTGTCATAAGAGCTTGAAACAGTGTATCACTAACCAGTGGCGTATCCAGGGGGTGAACCGCCGGGTCCGTGCCCCCTCCCCCTCTGGATTTTTTTGCCATCGCATACAGAGTGAAAAATGACCTGTTTTTAAAAAGGTTCATCTCCCCCCCCCCCCAAAAAAAAAATTTCTGATTATGCCCTTGTCACTAACATATCTTACTGGTTGATTTGGTTTAAGATATGCGGAAGAGGAAATTAGCGAAAAACTTCAACAGTGAAGAGTAGTCATGACAGAACAAACGCCGGACTTTCAACTACACGTTTATTTCAGAAAACTCCACCCCCACACACACATGAAGCAGCAGCGCATGCATAAATATGCTCTCCGAGCAGTTTCGCAAATACACACCTAACACTACAAAGCCATAAAGCGTGTCAAGGTTGTAAAAACAGTACGTTTCCATAAAACCCCACATATTGAAGCCACATGCACACGTTGTCTAGAGAAACCCAAATTCTTTATCTGTAAGGAAAACTGGGGCTCACTTATATATACATCTGGTCGTAGAGGCCGGATCTTTAGGCACTGAAAAAGTGTGTTTAGGCGCCAAAGACCGACAGGTAAAACACCATTTTAAGCCTTCAAAATCATAAATATTGGCACAATAGATTTTTACAAAAATTAAAATAATTCAAAACAATGACGTCGGTCACTTATATCTACGACAATACGCATAAAAATAATATTGTTTAAAATAGCACAAAGGCACCAACGGTTGAACATCGGCATGCAATTTGCCACGCGATTCGAAGATTACAGTCTTTCGCTTTATTGTCTATAGTCAAGTGGCCACTGTCCAATGAACACTCTTCTGGGCCTGTTTTCTTTCATTGTGGCTGGAAAGGGTAGCGCAGGAGCAGATAACCAGACCACTGATACCCCAGAAGGGAGAAATGTCAGGCCTAATTGCGTAGGATCAATTTCTCCCCTGTCGGTGAACACTGTTATGACCGTCATCATTATTGAAGTCCTTCGGTTTTTGTGAACTAGACGAAAACATTTCGACGCATGCCAAGCAAGGATGTGCCATCAAGGCAGGTTAATTTCCTCTCAGCAAAACGTGAACGAGGGGTCCAGGACCAGTTCGCGCAAAGAAAACGCACGAGCCAAGAAAGGCCATTGTGAGCTGGACTCTATGCAAGGGTTCGGAGGCAAACAAGAAAGCAGCGGGGCCACTTTTTGAGGTCACCGAGGATCTGGAAAGACCGGACCCAGCGTGGTATTTGCAGTTTTGGCTGAAAGCCAAAACCAACCTAGTTGTGGCTGCACCTTGCAAGGAGAAGCGGAGCCCCGTAAATTCGCATCTAAGCCACACCTTCTAGCAAGCAACGAAGATTGGAATGTGGGGTTGAAGGAAAGGAAAATGCATTATCTGCAGCAGCCCTTGCGACATATCCCTCGATGACGAGGGATTAGTCGACCATTCCTCCTTTCCCCTTTCTCCATAGGATCGGCTGAATGGAGTGGCATGTTTGACGATAAGCTGGAGGACCACTACATTGTCCTACCCGAACGCAGTCAGGCAAGTTTGCCACGTGTACCAGGACCCTGTTTTAGGGGCGAAGCTCCTTAGGGCGTGGGCTGTGCGTCCCCTGTAGCCTGTATGTAGCCATCTCTAGTTTAGTTCTTGCAGTGTTCACTAGATGGCGGTACCGTCCCCTGTATGTAGCCACCTCTAGTTTAGTTCTTGCAGTGTTCACTAGATGGCGGTACCGTCTCCTGTATGTAGCCACCCCTCGTTTAGTTCTTTTAGTGTTTACTAGATGGTGGTACTTGTAGCTGATGATGAAAAGATGCAAGATGTTATAAACTAGAAAGCTGTACTTGTAGTTGATGAAAGACGCGAGATCTTATAAAATAGGAATGATGTCACATATGGTTCGTGTCATTAGTTGGCAATCGTTCGATTTAGTGCGGCGACGTACGCTAGGGGGAGCGATGCAATAAAATCGAGTGGGCAAAATGTACAGAGGATTCATGGTTTACCAGGTTTACCTCCGGAGCTTCGCCCACTCATCATCATTCACTTCGTGGATATGGCGGAATTTTTCAAACCTCACCCAACTGCCAGAAGAGTTCTTGGAAACTAAGGTCATCTAAGATCATCGTACGTGCGGGAAATCTTGGTGACGTGTGCGAAACGTCGGTGGAGTGCGTTTTTGACCATATTTGGGCATCGAGTAGACTATGCCCTCTTCACGTGCATTGTGTGGTGTCTTTCACCGCCTTCGTGGGTGGAGCACCTAGACCATCGAGCACTGTATTAGCTGAAGCCGCGGACAATGCGCCCAGGGTTGGCAACGCAGCGCAAAATAAGCGGAAGACTTTTTGAAAGTTCTACAGTTCAAGTTTTCCTGTACAGGTCTTCACTTCTACTCGATCACTTGATGACCCCTTTTCGAATTTTCAGTTACTAACCATGTAAATAAATTGTCGTTATTACGAGCACCTCATCTGACTTGTTCAACGATGGGTCCTAGGACGGGGGCCCACTACCAAACTGAGACCCGCGGGACCCAGAGTCGCAACAACACCTTAGAGGGCCCCTCACTATAGGTTTGGGAATTTCGAGCTGTCAAGCGGAATGGAGAGACTGGGCACTCAGGAATGTGCCTGCAAAGATTAGTAAGGCTACATATCCCGGAAAAAATTTGAATTTCTCCTGAATGTCACTTGCCCTTCTCACGGGCGTGTGTCCCAAGATAGATGGAGTGACGTACATCAAGGAATGGTCCTGCTTTTACATTGTTCCTTTACGTTGACATTGGGGCTCTGACGTCACTCACCGTACACTCTTCATCGAAACTTGATTAAATGCTAGCTATATCCAGAAAAACAGATTAAAAATGTCCTGCCTGATGATTGTATCCTGCATTTAAAACAGTACCTCATTAACCCTTTGTTTCCTATGTGTTATACAAATGTGCAAATATTTTTTGTCATATATGCAATAAAAGCACATAGAAAGAACAATTACGCAAAAAATTTAGAAATCATAGGTTTAATTAAGCAAGAAAATGAGTGTCCACATATGTAGACAGTGGGAACATTGGTTACAGTAGGTGAAACCGTTCAAAACAGTTTGTGGGACCATCTTCCTCAATGCACAGGTAGACTGCATTTTTTGTCCTGTATGCGGGTCTCCATTTACATTCTGGCATTTTGCAGCGTTGAGCATTTGACTGAGCGATTGTTGTGGGTATGTGATTGATAGAGTCATACGGTACTGCGCCAGGAATATCCGAGGCCCTGTTGTAGACTCTAGTGCCGCCAAATACCCTCTGCTCTTCAATATTTCCTACGGCTTGCTCAGCTTTCATCAAACCTAATGCGATTTGAAGCTTGTAGTGAGCCAGCTGCATTGGAGATCCTTTTGTGGCACGATAGAGCAGCGAGCTGTTGACGACGGCTAGATCAAGTAAGTGAAATATTACTCTTTTGTACCACTTCTTCGTCTTCAGGTCGTTCCTGTGGAATGCAAGCAGCTGGTCTGCCCTATCTACACCACCCATACTTTGGTTGTACACTTTCACAATTCTAGCCTTTGCACTTCAACAAATGACTTCTGCTTTCGGTCATGTCTCCGGCAGGACCCAACAGGGTTTACACTATGTTTGTTTGACCCAACTGTAATAGTTCGATTGTCGTACCACTGACAAATCAGTATGTTCATTTTCCTTTTCCCGGCGAAAATCAGATGAGACGCAACCTTTAGCGTTCAGCTCCTTTTCATTTTGCAATGGA